ATATATATGATTAAAAAAATGTAATAAATGTAAAATCATATACAGAGGCGTAACTAGAACCTTCAGGGCCCCGGTGCAAGAAACTATGAAGACCCCTGTATGTTACGGTCTCCTAGGAAGGTATCTAAATGCTTTTTGAATGATTCAATGTAAAAATAAAGATTAACAATGTAACAACAAACCAATAAAAAGAAGAAACTGTCATTAGCATGTTGATGGGGGGAGGGGGGGGGACCAGGGAAGACAAACTATAATCAGATTAAACATCAGCTTTAAAGTTGTCTCTTTTTTATTGTCCTCAATATAACCCGCCGCTTTCCAGGTTTTCCATGTGGCCCTCTTCACATGGGGTCAGAGATGCTGGAAGGTGCATGATCCGGATGGTAAGAAATATGTAACCTGAGAGGTAAAAAGAAATCCGAATACAATCACGATGAAGGCGGCCCTTTGGAACCCCAAAACATGTCGGCTTTATATTGAGGACAATAAACTAAACTATATCTGGGCACAAACAATTTGTCTGGCACTCCGTTATATGAGTACATTGTTACAAGAGCCTAACAAGGGCCCCTGTGTGCCAAAGAGGAGCCTTACAGAAGCCCCAACAGCAGAAGATAACCCCACCTGGGGCATCAACTTCTATGATGGGTCCCAATGCTCCACACCCCAGCGTTGTCACCTTGACTGAGTCACATGCTCCTCCGTACTAATTTCTGATGAACAGAGCATGGGTATGGGTATAGGCATAGGTATGGGTATTGGTAGGTAACTATGTAGGTAGATATATACTGCTAGGTAGGGAGGCATTAAAGAGAACCTGTTACTTTGCCCCGTGTTGACAAAGGGCGGGTTTGCTTTAAACTATTGGCAAGACCTTCCTTCAATTCAGAGTGAGTTCGCCCATAAAGCGCCCGGCATGGGAATGGCGTGACGTACCTTTACCTGAAGAGGGTTTTTTGTGCTTATGGCAATAACGTGGTACTTGTAATAACACAGTTCACAGCTCCAGGATCCGCGCTCGCTGACCCATTTAATAAGACAGGGCTGGTGCGAACACTTTACAGATCCGTCACAGCGGCAAGGACTCAGCAGCTCCCCCTGCAAGATTCAGAATATACAACACAATTACACCAGGTCACATGATTGAAAATGTAAGATTCATAAAAACAATTTGTTGTCAAATTAAACAAATATTCCTGACCCCTGCACTGTGTAGTCTCTGCTGTATTTCATATTCCTGACCCCTGCCCTCTGTAGTCTGTGTTGTATGTCACATATTCCTGACCCCTGCCCTCTGTAGCCTGTGTTGTATCACATAATTCGGACCCCTGAACTGTGTAGTCTGTGCTGTATGTCACATATTCCTGACCCCTGCCCTCTGTAGTCTCTGCTGTATTTCATATTTCTGACCCCTGCCCTCTGTAGTCTCTGCTGTATGTCACATATTCCTGACCCCTGCCCTCTGTAGTCTCTGCTCTATGTCACATATTCCTGCCCCCTGCCCTCTGTAGTCTCTGCTGTATGTCACATATTCCTGACCCCTGCACTCTGTAGTCAGTGCTGTATTTCATATTCCTGACCCCTGCCCTCTGTAGTCTCTGCTGTATTTCATATTTCTGACCCCTGCCCTCTGTAGTCTCTGCTGTATGTCACATATTCCTGACCCCTGCCCTCTGTAGTCTGTGTTGTATTTCATATTCCTGACCCCTGCACTGTGTAGTCTGTGTTGTATGTCACATATTCCTGACCCCTGCCCTCTGTAGCCTGTGTTGTATCACATAATTCTGACCCCTGAACTGTGTAGTCTGTGCGGTATTTTACATATTCCTGACCCCTGCACTCTGCAGTCTGTGCTGAGCCCCCATTCACATCAGAAGCCCTTTTCACATCAGAACGCCCCCTTTCATATCAAAGTCCCTCCTTCACATCAGAGTCCCCCTTTTATATCAGAGCCCCCCCCCCCCTCCTTTCACATTACAGCCCCCTTTCAAATCAAAGTCCCCCCTTTACATCAGAAACCCCTTTTCATATGAAAGACCCCCCTCTCCCCTTCACATCAAAAGCCTGCCTGCCCCATGGAAAGGGATGACACGAAAATTTCGAGGTGCCCCTGGAAAAGCCAGAAGGCCCCCCGGCTTAGGCTGACCTAACTCATTGATTATCCTGGATAAGGTGAACTTCATCCAACGTGTTTCATGGAACAAAGCCCACTTCTTCAAGGACACATATGAAGCCCGAGTGTATGTATTATCCCATGTAACAGATCATAGATGGATTATTTTGTAACATTGTCAAATAACACCCGTGGTAGAGAGTCAGTGTCCCCGTGTGAAGCAAAAAGAGCCTTCAGGATGGATAGGCCCACCAAAAACGAGTGTCGTGCCTGGTGCCGGCCACCAATGACCATGGGAATTTTATGTGTAAAAATAAAGATTGAGATACTTTGATTGATGTGTTGGTGGTTACATTTATTTATCACAATATCTCCGTTCTCTTTGTTTTGTTTGTTCTATAAAATCTTTATGGTGGGATAAGGACATGCCGAGAGCAAATGAGCCCCTCCCGATTCCCAAGCAAATACTCAAAGACTTTCTAACTTTTTGACCATGAAGTTAGAAAGTCTTCATGGATTTGCTTGGGAATTGAGAGGGGCTCATGTGTGCCCAGCATGTCCGTACCCCACCGTGAAGAACATACAAAGAAAGAAAGACCCCTTTACTTGTTCACATGTCAGGCGGATTGCGAATACCTGGCCAGCGTAATGTACCCCAGTCATCCGGATGTCCTGAAATTGGCCATTGCCAACCGTTAACCTGCCGTACTGCCAGGACTGGATTTACTGTCTCTGCTGCCCCAAGGCCAGGTCTGCAATGCGCCCCCCTACCCGCCATAAAGAATGGCAGACCTGCAGGCTGCATACAAGTGATCTCGGTGGCACCAAAACAAGTGACAGCTTCCCCGCTGTACATTTAGCTCTGCTTGCCCAAAGCAGGGCTAAATGTAGAATATAACTACCCACCCGATGCCAGGAACTGCATGCCCTGGGCATCGGGAGATAGGAATTCCACACCCCTGCTGCCTGGCCTTGGTTGGCCTTGTGGGACATCTGGCCCTGCGTGCTGCACTAACCAGGCGCACGCACGTCCCGTCCCACAGAACTATTTCCAGCACATGCTTTGCTTACACTGTAAATTCACATCTGTTACATAACAGAATGCGTCCCCTGGAACTGGACGGCTCCATCCAGGGTAACAGGAATAATGAGGATATTACAGCGGCGGCGGTGGCGGCACCTGCTGAACAGCAATCTATCATAGTGCACACGCTGCAAAATGTAGAAAAGAACATTGTAATCAGAAACTCTCAACCCGTCACTTCACGGCTGAAAATATCAATTCCAGGCCTCCAGTTTTCAGAAAACGGATGTTCCCAGGTAAGATATTCCTCGCCGTGCAGCTCTCCCGGCAAATATATATAAAACGCAGATGCGGTGATGTATTTATTAAAAAAATAAATAAACACTATGGACCCAATAAACCTTCGGTGAGTGCAAAGTGAAACATTGTAACAATTATGTGCAAAGCTGTTGCAAAAAAGTCACAAATTGTAACAATGTATCTGTTATGTTGCACTTTTGCGCTGTTTACATGGAGCTTTGCGCCGCCTACCGCTGGGCGCATGAATGCGATTATTTATGGGCACAAAATAAATCCAAGCTGTTCAATTATATGGCGCCCAAATGGCGGCATGTCACAAGCAGGAATGTTCCTATTTCTAATCCACATGCTCCTTCACATCAGGAGCCCCCTTATATCAGAAGCCCCCTCTATTATATCAGAGGTCCTCCTTCACATCAGATCTCCCCCCACTATTATATCAGAGGTCCTCCTTCACATCAGAGCCCCCCCTATTATATCAGAGGTTCTCCTTCACATCAGAGCCCCCCCTATTATATCAGAGGTCCTCCTTCACATCAGAGCCCCCTCCCTATTATATCGGGGGTCCTCCTTCACATCAGAGCACCCCCCCCTCTATTATATCAGAGGTCCTCCTTCACATCAGAGCTCCCCCCACTATTATATCAGAGGTCCTCCTTCACATCAGAGCCCCCTCCCTATTATATCGGGGGTCCTCCTTCACATCAGACCCCCGCCCCCTCCATTCGATCACATGACCTGA